GAACCAAAACAACTTCATCTCGAGCTAGACTGGACGAAAAATATTTCGACACAATTTTATCAATCGTACCAGCTAATTGGCGTAAGCGACCAGGACGGTGGACAGCAAGTGGGCTGGTTTGTGCAGATACACTTTGTGGGAAACTAGATAAAGAAGTAAGTTGAGTATGCCATGCACGAACTAAAGCGGGAGCTTCTGAAAGAAAACGACGAAACAGCCTCGCAGCCAAATGGTTGATATCGGTTGCCACTCGGTGTCCAGGGATATGAAGAAGTGAGTCATCAGGAGAGAAAGCATCTCGCCACTCACTATCACCGGTAGAACCTGATGTTACTAAGTTAACAAAACGTTTACTGTTGCGACGTGAACAAAATACAGTTAAAGCAGCTGTAAGATATATACGAGATGTTGAGTTAGGGAGTAAAAGGCGTTCATCAGGTTCCAGTCTACAAGAATTATTTATAAAATCTCCTAGATTTCCTGAAGATGGAAGAAGTAAACCAATTGTAAGCATGAACCTATCAAAAATAGTGGCTGATGAACTCAAAAGAGAGTTTTGTAGAGAAGCCCGAGTTTGGGGTCCAGCACAAGTCATTAGGCTTAATAAACTATCCCAAGCTAACAAATAACCAAGAAGAGCTTGATGAGTTTGACAATTGACTGTCCAGCCAGAAGTAGAGAAATCACGCAAGTACAATAAGCTTGAATTACCGCGACCCCAGTGATCGGCAGCCACCTGACTTTGCAGATACTTCTCAACAGAGGAAGGTAACAGTCCTGATAAAGCCGACATCCAAGAGGTTGGAATACGACGGATCATATAATTAGCTATAGATATCGAAGTTTCATTCTTGCCTTGTAGTACACGAGTTCCAGAGAGTCTGTTTAATAAAATATAACCGAGGAGTTGACCAGACTGGTGAGGTGAGTAAGCAATTAACTTGCAAGCCATATCTAGACTAGCACGAAATCCGACAGTGAAATCATTTACAGACCCAATCTTAGACGGGAAAAGTTGGCTTATCATGCAAGGTTGACCTATCTTTAATTGGACATCACTCAAGTACTCAAAAACCAATGAAGATTGGTTACTGAAAGCAGTTATTAGATGATTAACAGGACAAGTGGCAAACGCAGCACACAAAGCCTGAATGTAGATATCAGTATCAAGGACAGCCTGAGATTTGCTATATTCCAATGGGATGCAGCTTTTTAAGACAAGTCGCAGGAATGTGGAGTAGTGATCAGGAGCAAAAAATTTTTCCCAGTCATTTCGAACAAGTGGAGGTGCCTCTCCTCGACGAGGTATGAGAGGTAGTCCTTTTGCGAAAACACGATACATATACTCTTCATCATCTAAATCGGCATCTTCTATACCCATCTGATTAATGTCAGTCTCCAGTTCCTCTTCGAAGTCTATATTCGCATTTTCTGAAAGAACGTTTTTAGATTGGTCATCACTATCACAATGAATATCAGAAAATGTTTTTGCATGTTCTTCTTCGTCAAAAAACTCATTTACAGGTTCTTCATCCTCACACTCATCAGCATCGTCTGCACCCATGTTGTCGGATTGAATCACTTTTTTACCTATATTAGTTTCCTTTAAAATGATGCAATCCGATAGAGGTAAATGTGAATAACGTTCAACAAATATTGCACCAAGTGCAGCAGACATTCGAAACACTCGAGTTGCGAGTAAATCATATAAAGTTTTTTCGACACCAGGATTAGATGAGCCACAAAAATAATGAACAGCTGAATAGACCCAGCTCACAGTCAAACAAAGAACAAAATCCCATTGTTCAACAGATAAAGAAGGTCTTAACTGACGCATTCTCATACTCAGCTGAACGAGACCCGGTCTGACAGATATTGGGGATTTTTCGGATTCTATGGCGCTCCACTGCCAAGGCTGCCACAACAAAAATAAGCATTCAAGATAACTCATTGTTGAAAGACATAGATTAAACACTACTGGTGACTTTAAACATAAACTTTTATCCTCCGTAGCAGAAGTAGTTAAATTGGCTAACCATGTTCGGTAATCCTCTAGAATAATAGAAGAAAATGTTGTGAGGTAAATAGGTGCAGTTGCGCGAACATTTGCAAGAGCTGAAATCAACTCAATAATATGAGCATGAGTTTTTAAGTGGTGATCACTTAAATCTGATAAGTTGCACTTTTCGACAGATAAGGAAAAACTTTTTAACCGGCCGAGCAATTCTTGCCTCGACAGACAACGACGAACTACACCTGCAGGTAAATAAAGCTCAATACACGTATTAAAACGTATTTTATCTGAATAAATGTTTTCTGTTGATGAATTAAGTGGAAAATATAAGTCAGTCCATGTTAAGTTTTGATTATCATCATCGTTACAACTAGCTGCAAGTTTGATATCATGAGGCCATAAATTTGGATGCATAGTACGTAAACGGTTCAATAACAAGCTATTTACTGTCGATTGTAGAATATGATAAGTTTGTGACTCTGATTCAACAATGTATTTCAAAGCGTTTGGTGATAATAAGCTCAAGAGGCGTGAAAGTGGAAGGTTAGATGTAAATTCATGCCAAAATGATCCCAAAGTTTTAGCAAGCAACACTCTATTTTCTTCAAATGAGGACATTGATGACTCAAAGTTCTCAAGTTGACCATTTATATTCAATACACTTAAATCTGTTTGCTTTGAAGACAAACCAATATCAATACATATATCCAATGGCTCACGAAAGCTTGATATCCAGACACGTATAAATCCAAGACATAGTAAATATTGAGTTGAACAAACATCGTTATCGCATGACATAAACTGCACATGAAGACGTAATAATAAACCCAATTGATGTAAGCGGACTAACTGACCGAAATTTGGCAATACAAATAACGGAGATATGCTGTGATCTTGTAAAAGATGGCGGGAAATTAAAAATGTTTCGGGTAAAGGATATATTTTTACAACTGCTTCTAAAACAAGTTTTACGTGTTTGACCAAATATTTCAGCCAGAGCATAGAAAAGTATGAAACGGAAGATGAAGAATTTAGTTTATCATGTACAGTTGAATAAATACGAGAAATAAAATGATAAAATAATGGGGTGATAACTTTTGAAGAAACGGTATTCGTGAAAATTAGATTAGAGAATTGATTAAAGAAGCTTTCCTCATTGCAATCTTTCAGTCCTTCGAGATTTAATCGTTTTAAAATAATTACCTCTGAACGGTTAATTAATTCTTTTAAATTAAACACAACATCATTATCACCATCTTCATAATTGTACGCATGATGATTGTCATCATTAGTTAAAATAACATTAGGTAAAAAGTGATCATCTGCGTTAGATTTTGATGAATAAGAAGCATCTAGGGATTCGTTAATTTTAACGAATGCGCTAATGCTATATGAACAAAACAGGATTTTTGTCAGCAATAAATAAAGATAATTTAAGCAGGATGAACTGAATACATTATTGTTGTTTATCATATGTAGTAAATGAATTAACAAACTTCCAACAATTCTTAATTCTGATGCATTAGTGACATTACAGTTGGTATCATCGCAGAACAACACATTTGCATAGCGTCGTTTAAGACAAGTAGACAATGTTTCAACCAACCGGATAGGAATTATCATCTCAGGTGAATTACAATCATTGTTACTATTACTGCTTGATATGTGATGGAAAGAATTTGTTATTAAAGAATGCAGATTATTCATGAATGATATAACAACTGTTGAAAAAGGGATTTCATCACTTATAACCACTTTGTCAAACCATACCTGCGCCCAAAAACATAAAGTGCTGCTAACACGATTTGATAATAATTTTGTACAAACACTGGCTGAATCGAAAATATTCCCTATACTTGGTAATGACTGAATCAGTACTGGAAGTATATTATTAGTGAATAATAAGCAAATCGATGAATTATTGGGGATCTCTCGTTCATTATCAATGTTTTCAGAAGAAAGAATCCATAATTTGGCTAAGCCTTGTATAACTGGATAGGACCAACAAATTGCATGCACTTCATAAGGTAGTTTAGACAAAAGTGAAGAAAATACTTTTCGAAGAATACATGGAGCAGAGAAAGATTTCAAAGGGAGATAACCGTAGATGCACAAGAATACCAAAATATGGAAACTATCATTTGGACTGTCTTCAAACAAATTTGCATTCATGTTGTTTAGTAATATATCACTAATACTGCAAAATAGATTAATGCACCACTCTGTTTGCACAGTAAAAGTTAAATCACAGTAATTCATTTTATTATCTACTCTTTGTGAAATTTTTGAATTATTATGTATATAACGGTTAACTTTCTGATTGCTGGATTTAGCTAAATGATTTACAAAGCTGATTAATCGTAACGGATCAACAACTCCAATAAACAAACGATCCACTTTGCCGACGTCAATTATTGGTGTTAAGAATTCGTTTGATTGTCCTAAGGAAATCCATTTGAATAAAGTATTTCTTAATTCATCATACATTTGTATTTTTAGCTGATGATTAGATTGAGCAATATTATTGCAAAACTTTGCAGTCTAAGGAAAAGTAAGAAATATAAAATGCAGAAAAATAAATATAACCCATTACTTACGTGCACATTTGTATGGCGGGGTGTATAGTGATGACGTTAAGAAATATTGACCTGAGCAAATCAAGTTAAATGAAGCGAGAGTAAATTAATAACCCTAAACTTTAATGTTATATGGACTCTACTATGAGGAAATCTATCATAAAATAAATATGGCCACTACCATAAAGACTTAACATTATGATTTTAACATTTTATACCACGCACGATTTTCTGAAAAACAATCTGACTAGCCTACTTGAACAACAAAACACTCAAAATAAAGTGCTTCAGCCAGTTAGCATTAAACGATCTCGCTGAGCAAAGATTAATATGTAGGAAATTACGAATATTAATTGTGGTTTACTTTAAAATTAAATATGACCTACTACTCAAAACGTTAATCATATTAAAATGGTGAAAATGTTAACAGAGATTAATCGCTCAAAAAAGGAATTGTTATCCCATCCAATCGCCGATAGGATAAGTTTATAAATGTAATAATATATAAAGGGAAAGACAGTGAATTACTATATCTAAAGCATAACTTGTCGAAAATATGAGAAATGTAAGGAACTATAGACTATGAAGAGTAAGTTCGAGTCTAGTTCTAAACCATAAATATATTGGCAAAGTTTATATATATATATATATATATATATATATACCAGAGATTTTAATCGTCGAACTCACTTGATTGAAAACAATATTTAAGTAGGATTGCCTGGAGAGTGGTGGACGACTGCAAACCAATTTTGGAGAAGTATGGACTCGTGCATGTGTAATAAGACAGTCAGAAAAAAGACGTATAAGAACCTTTGAATACAACTTCTTAGCCAAAAGAACTTCTTTTCTGTTCTCATCCTCCATGGGTGTTAGCAATCGATCAATAAAATATCTTACACATTCCATAGTCCCTGTGGCTATAACAAGGGATACGTCCGGATCGTCTGAATGGTATGAACCAGTTTCACTGTAGTCACCATCTGAAACGCGTGTGTAACCAAGTGAACGGTGTAATCCTAACAAAGTTGAGTCAATAAAAAGTTTTTCTAATATCTCCAACTCATGGATTTTTAAATTACGATAATCCAGAGGAAATTCATTCACAAGACAAAGTAAATGTGTATAAGCCTAAAAATTAAAAACGAATTAGGATTACGAGTGTTAACACTTGTTTGGTGCTTGTAGAAAACAAAAATGAGTTCGAAAAAATTGTTAGTTATGCATTTACCAGTTTTTTGCTTGGAGATTCTTGGAACCATCAAAATAATATAAACGTAGATAATATAAGGATTTGATGAGTTATGCGTATTCTGACTGTCATTTAGGAAACGTTGTGAGACTCAAATGAAAGGTTCTTTACTCATAAACCAAACTAAGTCATGTTGAACATCAAGCAGTAAATTTACTGTTTACATGTATTTTATAAATCTTAGTTTATGTTCCATAACACTAGCTTTATAAACTAATGATTTTATTCTTCAATATTCAGTTCAAAACTTAACTATCGAACCTGAACATATTGAACAATAATGTTATAGAGCCAGTAAAAAACCAACCATAATATTTAAGATACATGTTATGAAAAGGTTTAAACATTGTAACGAATGTGGATGTTTCGTAGTGTTTTAAAGTATGGAACGCTAAGTGATAAAATATACGCAATGGTACAATGTTACTGACCGATAACTACACAAGAAAATGAACTGTCGACACAAACCCGACTAAACTGAGACCAAAGCTCAAGATAAACGGCTAGAAATGTTGTTGCACACAACGATAAATATAACTATTTATTATTTAAGATATAAGCGACTAAGGGTAATGATTTTTGAAAGCCTCTCACTCTCCAATAAAATTAAGACCTGACTATTGGATCTAATTCCTGACCGTTATATTGTGGACGTACTTTTTGCATGTAGGTGATCTCAAAAAACATGAAACCAAACTCTCAGGTACGCCTAGTAATTTATGATGTCTGCTCCTTCGCAATTTATTCATTCTACTGGTGTAATTACATTTAGTTTGAATTGTTTATTACATAAATATAGTTTTAGCAGTCTATTACATTTCAAAATACATGACAGACCTCTTATAATGAAAAAACAAATCGAAGTATTATTATTACTATTTACTTGTTTGTCTTTCCTTTTATTCACTTCGGAGATATCATTTTTAAAGATAATAAACCTAATTAAATCGAAAACACCAGCTGGTAGATATAGCTTTAAAAAATTCAAGTCCTCAATTACATACATGTGGTAAGTTTAAAATCTATCCATTGGTACAATATAACTCATTTTCATAAAAAGATATATGAACATATGCTGTGAAGAAAATAGTGAAATTACAAATTATAAAGGATGATTTTTGGGACATTAGTTCGTTTAATTCATAATCTGTAATTACTAATATCTAATTTATATGACCACCTTATTTCTTAAATCATATGTTCTCGTTTAATCCATGACTTATTGTTATATTTTCGATTTCAAATTTATTGTAATTTAAAAGCGAACCTTTTGTACTATCTTTGTACCTTAAATGTCCAATTTTGGCACATACTTTCCTTTTATTATTATTATGCGTTGTGGTCCATTTATTTATATATTTAAGTGTGAACCCTTTTGAGTTATCATAATTAGATAAAAAGATCTCTAATATAGTCGTTTTCTTCCTTCGTTTGTCGCCAAATCAGTACTCTTATAGTAGATCACTAGTCAGGAAATAAGATAGTTTACTACCCTTAAGACCAATCGGTCATAAGTTCGCCTCATGCAATCAGTCTCAAGTAACTCAAAGCATTAAGGTCATCAAATGGTTTCGAGAAGGATCTCTTTGCATATTTAACTACAAGTCAGTGAACAGACCAAGGTCACGATAACACATGATATTGACAGAGAAGTGAAGTGTTGGCAATGCATGAATTGCACTGAATTGTAAATAAAAAGCAATCAAATATAACTGTCCCTGATGTAGCCTAGAAAGAAAGGATGTATTGTTACAATTTAAAGATAAAATAAAAACTGTTTAATTAACCTGTTTAGCTTGAATCTTCTCGGAATAATTAAGAAGATTTTCCAATCTCGTAACAAACGTTTGACTCCAATCCACGACAGACCACACAAATTCACCAGATAGTCCAGTTAAACAAGCCAAAGCTGCATCCAGAGTGAAGAATACACACCAGTGCTGAGCTCCAAAGAAGTGCGAATATCAACTAATTTACTGATACATGTATTTTCAAGTAGTATACAAGTAACACCCAGTGATCCAACTGTTATATTGCTGATATATTCACCAGAACCTTCCCATCACTTGCTTCCTTCATCCATCGACACCAAGAAGGATTACGACACAAAACCGAACACAGCCTATACACAGCGATACAAGCTCCAGACAATGTCCCGTACGTTTGATCTAAGCAATTAGGATTTTGTTCGCTCCTTAAAGTTTTTAAACAACGTACCACTTTATCCCAAATACCTTCAGGACATAACAACATTTTTAGGCGAATCAGTTGTTTGTGATCTGATGAAAGATGAACCAGATTACCAACAAAGGAGGTCAAGAAGCGCAACGTTGATGAAAGGTCGAAAGAGTAAGACAGTAACTCCGTACTGGTATTTCCCACAGGGTTGTCGTCATTCTTCATGGATGAACAATGTTTCGAAGAGGAATATGACACTGTATCTGCACATGTTTTACGTGTTAGTTCAAATAACTGAGTTTCAACCATATCTAAGAGTTGTTTAGAGCACAGACAGTGAACATCTATTAGTTTCTTCCCGGAAAGGTGTCATACAACCCTTTAGTAGCATATACGGCTGCTGATTCATAGGTATCAACTGTAGAAAAGTCCATATTGGTACAATCTAAAAAGTATCATTTATCATATAAGCCAAAATAAAAATAGATGATATTCAGTAAACTAATATCTAAAAAAGTAGAGATGAATCTAATCTGATTACTAATAAAAAGCGTTCAAGTAGGTTATTTATAAAGTTTTCATTGTTTTCTTAAATATCTGTCAAGCTAAAATCTCTAGCGTCTTCATTTATACTTTGGATCAAATACCAGTTAAAAACACTTTACATTTAGTTAGTGAGTTGCATGAATTTAAAAATCTTCACAATAAAGAACACTGAAATACGCCACAGATAAGATTATTTTTATTGACGTGAAATTTAAAATCCATATAAAAACTTAGTGTTTTGAAAGTTACAAAGTCTTGGGATGAACGTTACAAACAATTACAATATCAGATTCGTCTGAAAATCCCAATATCCCGAGCATGTCTGCTCACTTTTTTTGTTAACTACCACTAACCACGGTATTTACACACCAACTAGCTATTCTACCTTTATCCAATGACTTGAAGTACAAACAATGTCTAAATACACATGGGCCCGTGTCATGTTAAACTAGGTTTGGTTACATTAAGTAGATTAAGTAGAAAAAACTACCTGTGTATTTCATTTGAAATTCCTTCACAGTTAGAGGAAAGATTAAATGCGTAAAATGACAACCGGGGTTATGTAAAGACATCTATGAGTGTAACCTAAATAGATACCAGAATTGAAGGTTCTAGAACGGTCATACATTACTGTGGTGACCATCATTAATACCAAACTACGTTTATTGGTCATAAATTATCATTAAATATTACATGGAAATGGTACAAACTTATGGATGATAACATTTACCTGCTTTAGGTATAGACCTAAATCTTTACCAACACGAGATGCAAGTGCATGCATAGTTGTTTGAACGAGTTCACGAACTTTCCTATCCCCATCAAACGAAAGACGATGGTAAATTCTTGGCCAAAATGGTAAACAGCCACAATTGAGCTTGTACTCACAGAAATGCATTCAGATTTATTTGACTCGGGTTTGAGAAGTTCACAGAATTCACGCAATGCCTTTTGTTTGGTAACCGAATCGCGCTTTTCCAGACGTCTTAAAATATTTAGAAGTTGTGTGTCTAACCCTGATGCATCTGGGTCTTGAAGGATAGGAACGAACCCAGTTAACTTCCCCTGACAACTTTCCGTTTTCAGCTCATCAGTATTAAGCATGACACTTCGTAATTTCGTATCCAAAAGACATGTTAAAGGTACCCCTAGACCTCCAGTCTGTTCAACCAAAAACCTAGTGGCCTTGTCGCTGCTGGAAGGCTTAGAATTTTCTTTAACTCTTGGTTTATGAGTAGTCTTTTTTTTCCCTCCCATAGTAGATGAATTATAAGTAATGAGGGACTGACCTACAAAGAAAAGATACACGTATTCACGAAAATCATCAAATTTTTCAAAAAGCGAAGTGACAATCTTGTCAACACTCAGATTAAAAACATGAAAACTTGGTATATCAAGAGTTTTAGTAAGTTCGTCAAAAAACAAATTATAACACTATTACGATGAAGATAGGTTAGATATGCGTAAAATAAGCTTTAATTATTTCACTTGATGAATATAAACGCAGGCAAGCTTCCCTAATCCTTCTCAGGACACTGAAGTAAAATTCACAGGATGAATACTAAAACCGTGAAAGCAGTAGTTTCGAAGACGGTTACAAGGCTAAGCTTCAGCGTATTGTTTGGAAAGAAATGAATACCCCGGATAAAAAGTATGTAATTATGCTGCAAACAAAATCAAAGGGAAGGTAGAAATTGAACGTATATCGTCTATTTCGACTGAGATCACTCGTCTTCAACTGTAGATAGTGACTAAATCGACTGTTCTAACTTAGATATCTGCGCATACCGCCAAAGTTCAGAACAACAGTTAATGGCCCTAAGGATTGAAGCTGTATCAAGACCTGCTAGCCTTCGACTTTCTTTAGCAAGTACTGCGAACTGTAGATGACAGTAATTCGATATACCTACGACACAAAAATAAACTCATACCAAATATGTCTCTTCATTAAACTACTTGTTATAGTGATTTTGAAGTTTTATTTATTTATTGAAGTACATAAATACTGGTACAAGTGGGAACCTGAATAAATATACTCCACATAAATGAGTAAATGGAATTATGAAGGGATAGAAAGGAGAGAATGTATGATCGAAATCAATAAATGCATGCAAGACCGCTACTGGCTTCTATTCCGAACCATGTCTGATAATGTCTCAAGCCAGTATTCCATTATCTCTAGAACCCCAACCAGGGAGTCGTGAGGGGTGGATAGATGACAGTCCTGTACAGTTTTCTCTCATACCACAACAACATGTCATACACTGACCACCTCTCCGCTTTACCCAACCAGTCCCAACATCGGCAAGTACTGAACGATGTGAATTTCTCTGGGACAACATTTGTAGCACATATCCAAGTCATCGAAGTCGGTATTTGCAGATGGCGACACCAATCGAATTATCGTCACAACCACTGAACACATATTGCTGCATCTCCGCCCTGCTAACATGGTGTTACCACTGGATGTCGGCAATCCTTCGGAGACAATGACGATCGAATGCAGAGTCGCTCGACGTCCTTAACTCGGAGAGGCCAGGTTTCACGAATATAGAGCAGAACTGCTCTCACCACCACATTGTATATCCGGCCTTTTATAACCACGTTAATATCACGAAGGCGCCGAAATGGCCCAGATTGTCACAAGCTGCTATGGCTTTGATGATACGGGATGATCTTATCACTCACGCCACCACCAGGACTTGCTCAGCTACCCAGATACACGAATTCTTTCGACTACTTTAAACAAATTACCACAAAATGAGTGGAGGCACATATTTCTACTGGTCTTGTAAAGAACTTCGCATTTAGGTGTAAAGTATGTGCCATACATACGGACACTGATTGTCAACTGATGATGTACGATTTTCATAGGTTGATTATCATCGTACAGTAAGACAATATCATCCTCATACTGAAGATCAAACAGTGCTTCTCTAAGTAATAGATCAACACCACCATTATCTACTTCTATCGGAGCTGTTTCTAGAATGTTATTCATGTCAAAGCTGAACAGGAATCATGAGATTGAGCAGCCCCGTCCAATCCTAATCCTGAATTAGGACAATAGAGAGAAACGGTTGCGTGTCCTCAGTCTGCCTGAGGTGTGACATGACTAGGAATAGGTAACAATGTCGTAATTGTATTCGCTCTATTTCCCTCTAGTTCTTGAGTCTAAAAGATATCTTGCTTTTTGTGTCTCAAATTCATTCTTTCTCTAATCACACTGCCTATGCCTAATCTTTTATCACCGCTAATAATATTACTAATTCTACTCATCTGGGAGAATTTTGGTAATTTTATCTCCCTGAACTGATGTGAGACAAATGGGACCGATGCAAAACCGTGCAAGGCTCAACATTGTTTATGACTAACTGACAGATAAGCCACTGGCCTGAACAATAGGTGTGAGTCAGCCACATCAAAACGAGCTTCATGTATCCGTGCCGAGATTACACTAATTCACTACGACTGATGAGACTCCAAGGTATGTTAGGTGGTCAAAGCATCCGAATACTTACCCCCATATCTTGATGTAACAACCAGTTGGAATTCTATAAATATCATTCAGCCTTGACCCTTTGTGGTTACAGCTTATTCATCGAGGATGGGTAGAAAAGTCAAACTAATGACCAAGGTAATTTGGCACTTTCGGACCATTTTATTTAGAGATTTTTTAAGCGGACCCTCAATATTTACTCATTTTTCCCCTTCGCTTTAATATAAACTTTTTAACGTGAGATTCCTAATGAAGCACATGGTCAAATAATATCGAACGAAGTGAACAGATAAAGATTTTTCATTTCCATTGACTGTATAATTTAGTAAACCACATGAAGTTACTAGGATACATTTTCTAGGAGCACTAGCGAAATAGAACTCATCGTTTTATGCTGCAAATGCTGAAGTATTTTAGTTGCCACATTTGCCGACAGCTCAAGGAGTGAACAACTAAAAAGTGAAATATCAACAGACAAACGCAGTAGTTTTCAGATATACCAGATACTGACTCCATCGATTAAACTATCTCCTCAACCTGGGATTTTAAGCTTAACCTTAATAATACACACTGACCTTAAGGTCAGCTGCTAGCACCATATATCCCACCCTGGAACGCCGTCTCAACTATATGGCAATACAGGAGAATGTTGCACAGTATACTCGCATTGATAGTCACAAACCCCATCCGGATTACAGACAAGAATCTTCGCCCAACAATCAGCCCCCAAAAAGCGGTATAACTTCCAGAACAAACTGTGTCTTTAAACCTTTCAGATATGATGCACAGTACTCAGTCTTCACTAACTATATTACTTCGTCATCGGGATCTAGATGCGAAGTTCATTCGTAGACTTTAGTTAAGGACATTTAAAGATATACGTTAAAGGTAACCTTATCTAACAAGGCTCGCACCAGAGTACTTTGAGCCAAACAAAGTATTTCATAGTGGAAGGCTAATCCATCCTTCTGTCTCAAATATGTTTTCCCGTATGCGAGGGTGGTCGCCTCAGCTAGACTCTGGACTGAAATTCATCCCTCATAGGCCAAGAACGCGCTAAAACGTCGAAGAAAACTTTAACACACACACTTTATTGCGGCTACTGGGACCTTCACTGCACACGAGACATTTTTGTCGAATGTGGTTTCAAGGCCACTGATCCATTTTCCAATTCCTGGATGCTGTGAAGAACCGAGAACTATCATAACAGTTAGGCGTTCTAAGCCAGAATTTTAGTTTTGTAAGGTTATCTTTAGGTGGAGAGATCCACTAACCTGATCAACATCAGCCTCCCGTATATGAATAATGTATTTCGAACAGATGCATCATTCCATAAAATAGAAAGTAGAAATTATACAAGATCAGGTCGAAAGTGGCTGCGAGTGTGAGAGACTGTAACTAATAAATTGGGAATAACTTAAGTGCAGTAAACCGTATAGTAGTAGCCAATAGGTCAAATGGAAGCTTATAATAAGAAAATGAATATACATGTAACATAGTTACTTAATAATTATACAATGAGAATATATATCGCAAAATCCATAAATAGGTCCTGACAGTTATTATTCTTCGTCCAGATATGACACTTATGGTTGCCGGGATCCAAGAGTAATTCCGTGCAACACTTGTTCCCTGAGGATGCTGAAGCCCATGTGAGTCGTTGGTTTGGGGTCAGGACCGCCTCCCAACTACTTCCGTACCTACCTTTTCCCAGCACTTCTCTGTTGTATAGCTTGGTAAGTCATACTACTGACTGCGATGAAAATGCGTACTTAACATACTATTTTAAAGTATTCACTGCTTTGAACAAACGCTATCGCTGTTTAGAACATTCAACACAGTGCTTTATGTGGATATTTTGTCAATAGTTGAAGAAATAACATAAACTCATCATGTGTCCAAGCACAAATATAACACATTTCATTCTGCTTCGACCGTTACAATTCAGCTTTATTATGTAAATAATATTGAGTTGTTATTAAACAAATTCATTTAGATTATTGCCACATATTACGTGGGAGATGATCATTCGATGGAAATGGTTATTCAGTTGCCAAACAACTATCCCTTAAGTCCAATTACTGTTAGTAAAGGGCGTAGTGTTGGTGTAGGAAGTCAACAGTGGCAGTCATGGCTTTTACAAATGTCTGTTTTTGTTAATAATCATGTGAGTTGATAGACGTTTATTCTTATTTTGTGTATTTCGATGTAATCTTTTTTCCAGTGAACCATTGTTGATTGTGTCTGATTGGCATTCGAAATTAATCACGTTTATAGATATTTATCTGAATTTAGTGTTAAATATATAATATAGACTGTAATCTAATGCTTTCATCTGAAATTAGGAGTGTCTCCTTCAATTTCATTCTAAGTCCTTTGTGGTGTGATAGATAATTATTCCAATTGTAATAAGTTTTCACTAGTTAGTTCCATAGGTAAGGTATGTCTAAAATGTTAATCAACACTATGATTTGGTGAGTAGAATACTGCTTATGCAAGCATAACAAATAAAACATCACATTTCGAACTACTTTACATCGTGTTAATACGACAAGTTCCAACATTTACTCCTAATCCAATATATCAGAGCGTTGATTGTGACATTACAGCCTAGAAGCAGCATTCCTCAACCCTACATTTGAGCTCGGTTTAGATATCTTTAAGCTTATTGCCTTTGGTCGAACACTATAACCTTAACTGTCTGCTGTATACTAAAGCGCTAGTTAGGAAAGAGTGATTTTCGTGGATAAAATGAAAGTAGGGAAAGAAAAGGGAAATTCAAGTTCTATGAAGTGACTTGGATAAATATTCACTTCAGACTAGCAATTTAGTAGTGACCTTTAAGCAAATTTTCCGCAACTTATGTTCATCCATAGTACATGTGTCAGCCACTCTATCTATATAGGTCCACAGTTGCATCAAATGGTTTACTGTAAACTCTAAATTAAGCCTATCTCATTCGGTGGTCTCGTAACATGCGAGCGATAGTGGGACTACAAAGTTTTCGAATTTGTGTCAGTATTGAAAACCACATAGAAAAAATATTTAAATGGGTTTTTGAAAAGTTTTACACTTAGTTTCCCTAATTATCTTGAAAATAAGGGGGACCGTGTATGTGAAATTTCTTAAGAAAAGGCCCCTCTGCACATGGTTTTGTAAAATAATCAGAATTTGGGTGGAACAGAAAACGTTCAAATAATATAATCGCTACAAAGTGATATGTTCACTTCTATATGTCGGACTTATTAAATAGAACATAATCTAAAATACACTCATTCCATAATTCGTATTCTGAAATCTGGTTGTTATTATTTGTATTGAACATCCAAATTTAACGAACTTTTATTAAACAAGTTCCATGAGTGTGAATCAACACCATTAAAACGATATATTATTTAACCTAAATCTCTTGAATTGAATTAGTATTTTTGCCTCTCTGTGTTGTTTGTGTCATTTAGAATGGATCGATTTTAGATGGTATTGATTTGTGGCAAAGTAATGTTCGGAAAAAATTCGATGGTGTTGAAGAATGTGCAATTTGTTACTCGATTGTGCACAACACAAATTTCAGTTTGCCTAAAATGCGATGTCACACCTGTCGTAAACTATTTCATTATGCTTGCATGTACAAATGGTTTACAACTAGTCGAAATCCTGCTTGTCCATTGTGTAGACACCTGTTTATTGATCCAACCGGTCGTCCTGTATCAACATAATGGGTAAAGAAAATTCTGATGATCGATGCAGCAAGAAAATGTAGTATTTCTAATTAATCTGAATCAAATGATCATTTGTTTCATTAATTCACCATAAATCTTGTTTTTTGTTACTTTTGAGAAGGATTACTCTTTTTATTTTTAAGTAGTTATTATTATTATGTTGTTTCTGAACTGTTCTGTTGAACATAAACTATCTGAATTTTCTGTATGTTTAATGTGAATGCAAAATGTTTGTCAACTTTCTTTATGGCGAATTACTTTTTGACAAAATGTACAAATGATGATACAGATCTCAGATATCTGTATTGTGTTAGTTCTTTTCTAGTAGGCTTGTGTGTCTGTTCTTCTATGGAATGAGTGACTTGAATGTACGAACACCACTTCCCAAGGCGACGGGTTCCAAGGGTTTGTGACCCGGTGAAAAAACCTGTATGCTACGGGTATTTGTTCATCCTTGGCTTTCGAACTCGCTTGTTATGCTATTTGATATGTCCCGATCTAATGGGAAGTAATGGGAAAGATACATCAGATCCGACATCATTTCTCAGTATTCTATACACCTGAATCAGATCACCTTTTAATAAACGGCAGAACAAAGTAAGGAGGTCCTACTTCTCTATTCGATGTACGTAGAACTCTGTGGATCATAAACGTTGATGATCTCTGTCGAATGATTGAGGGCCTACTCAGGTTAGACGTGAATGGTGTGACCAACAGCTAATGTCGAAGTCACACTTCGCGATTAGCACCTTACGTGGGTTACTCTGTCGTATCTAGGTACTACGGATGCTTTGAAGACCGTACAACACAAAGGATGTTATTACAGAAATACATAAGTTGAAGTAGGTACAGGCGAATGTGTGACCACCACCTCATAGGCCAATACATTGCGTACGATTAACTGGCGCGTGTCGGTTGTCCTTGACTTTGACATGGATCGATGATCTGTTCGATATTCGGTGACCCAACTGCCGGATGATTTGGCTAGTGCTCAGTGATATTTCATTGGGCCTACACCTTTGTTAGACCTCGGGATTCTCAAATCCCACTGGTAGTTAGCTTTCGTAACCCCTCCAACTCATGACAGTCGTCCTCAAGAGACGTTTATCATGGCAAGAGATTAGCGAACAGCAATATTAATAATAGCAGTAATCTTGATAGGAATAATTGTGGCAGTAATTGAAACTCATGAGTAAAGCATCAGATTCAGCTAATCCTGACGAAGGACAGTAAACCGTTCTGATTTGGGTTATAAACAATTTTAACTGTATTGTTCTTTATTTTTTACCATGGGAACCTTTAACAGTAATGTAGGAGCTTTAGTATCGAGGTATTTTATGTTTAATAAGAGGGATGTCTTACACTACAGAAAATGACACAGTACTTCATAACTGAATAAACGGTTCTATTTTTCAACCATTTACCAGGAATATTAAGTAAATTCATTTTTAGGAGGTGTCAGCTCTTCCTATTGGGTTACTTTGAATTTTTCGAGATTATTGGCCATTATTAAATGGTACAACGGACAATCGAGTAACCGCGTTATTGTGCAGTTTGGCTACTACCATTGACTCCAAGTAACTCAAAGAATATTCGTAACCGATATAAAAAGACGTACTGGTTTGTTTCAACAAAGTGGATGGTGGTTGAGTTGTGTCGTTGTCTGTACTAGCGTCGAAGTATTGGATTTTCAGTCGTTTCTCTTGTAGTCAAAGCATCCGAATACTTACCCCCATATCTTGATGTAACAACCAGTTGGAATTCTATAAATATCATTCAGCCTTGACCCTTTGTGGTTACAGCTTATTCATCGAGGATGGGTAGAAAAGTCAAACTAATGACCAAGGTAATTTGGCACTTTCGGACCATTTTATTTAGAGATTTTTTAAGCGGACCCTCAATATTTACTCATTTTTCCCCTTCGCTTTAATATAAACTTTTTAACGTGAGATTCCTAATGAAGCACATGGTCAAATAATATCGAACGAAGTGAACAGATAAAGATTTTTCATTTCCATTGACTGTATAATTTAGTAAACCACATGAAGTTACTAGGATACATTTTCTAGGAGCACTAGCGAAATAGAACTCATCGTTTTATGCTGCAAATGCTGAAGTATTTTAGTTGCCACATTTGCCGACAGCTCAAGGAGTGAACAACTAAAAAGTGAAATATCAACAGACAAACGCAGTAGTTTTCAGATATACCAGATACTGACTCCATCGATTAAACTATCTCCTCAACCTGGGATTTTAAGCTTAACCTTAATAATACACACTGACCTTAAGGTCAGCTGCTAGCACCATATATCCCACCCTGGAACGCCGTCTCAACTATATGGCAATACAGGAGAATGTTGCACAGTATACTCGCATTGATAGTCACAAACCCCATCCGGATTACAGACAAGAATCTTCGCCCAACAATCAGCCCCCAAAAAGCGGTATAACTTCCAGAACAAACTGTGTCTTTAAACCTTTCAGATATGATGCACAGTACTCAGTCTTCACTAACTATATTACTTCGTCATCGGGATCTAGATGCGAAGTTCATTCGTAGACTTTAGTTAAGGACATTTAAAGATATACGTTAAAGGTAACCTTATCTAACAAGGCTCGCACCAGAGTACTTTGAGCCAAACAAAGTATTTCATAGTGGAAGGCTAATCCATCCTTCTGTCTCAAATATGTTTTCCCGTATGCGAGGGTGGTCGCCTCAGCTAGACTCTGGACTGAAATTCATCCCTCATAGGCCAAGAACGCGCTAAAACGTCGAAGAAAACTTTAACACACACACTTTATTGCGGCTACTGGGACCTTCACTGCACACGAGACATTTTTGTCGAATGTGGTTTCAAGGCCACTGATCCATTTTCCAATTCCTGGATGCTGTGAAGAACCGAGAACTATCATAACAGTTAGGCGTTCTAAGCCAGAATTTTAGTTTTGTAAGGTTATCTTTAGGTGGAGAGATCCACTAACCTGATCAACATCAGCCTCCCGTATATGAATAATGTATTTCGAACAGATGCATCATTCCATAAAATAGAAAGTAGAAATTATACAAGATCAGGTCGAAAGTGGCTGCGAGTGTGAGAGACTGTAACTAATAAATTGGGAATAACTTAAGTGCAGTAAACCGTATAGTAGTAGCCAATAGGTCAAATGGAAGCTTATAATAAGAAAATGAATATACATGTAACATAGTTACTTAATAATTATACAATGAGAATATATATCGCAAAATCCATAAATAGGTCCTGACAGTTATTATTCTTCGTCCAGATATGACACTTATGGTTGCCGGGATCCAAGAGTAATTCCGTGCAACACTTGTTCCCTGAGGATGCTGAAGCCCATGTGAGTCGTTGGTTTGGGGTCAGGACCGCCTCCCAACTACTTCCGTACCTACCTTTTCCCAGCACTTCTCTGTTGTATAGCTTGGTAAGTCATACTACTGACTGCGATGAAAATGCGTACTTAACATACTATTTTAAAGTATTCACTGCTTTGAACAAACGCTATCGCTGTTTAGAACATTCAACACAGTGCTTTATGTGGATATTTTGTCAATAGTTGAAGAAATAACATAAACTCATCATGTGTCCAAGCACAAATATAACACATTTCATTCTGCTTCGACCGTTACAATTCAGCTTTATTATGTAAATAATATTGAGTTGTTATTAAACAAATTCATTTAGATTATTGCCACATATTACGTGGGAGATGATCATTCGATGGAAATGGTTATTCAGTTGCCAAACAACTATCCCTTAAGTCCAATTACTGTTAGTAAAGGGCGTAGTGTTGGTGTAGGAAGTCAACAGTGGCAGTCATGGCTTTTACAAATGTCTGTTTTTGTTAATAATCATGTGAGTTGATAGACGTTTATTCTTATTTTGTGTATTTCGATGTAATCTTTTTTCCAGTGAACCATTGTTGATTGTGTCTGATTGGCATTCGAAATTAATCACGTTTATAGATATTTATCTGAATTTAGTGTTAAATATATAATATAGACTGTAATCTAATGCTTTCATCTGAAATTAGGAGTGTCTCCTTCAATTTCATTCTAAGTCCTTTGTGGTGTGATAGATAATTATTCCAATTGTAATAAGTTTTCACTAGTTAGTTCCATAGGTAAGGTATGTCTAAAATGTTAATCAACACTATGATTTGGTGAGTAGAATACTGCTTATGCAAGCATAACAAATAAAACATCACATTTCGAACTACTTTACATCGTGTTAATACGACAAGTTCCAACATTTACTCCTAATCCAATATATCAGAGCGTTGATTGTGACATTACAGCCTAGAAGCAGCATTCCTCAACCCTACATTTGAGCTCGGTTTAGATATCTTTAAGCTTATTGCCTTTGGTCGAACACTATAACCTTAACTGTCTGCTGTATACTAAAGCGCTAGTTAGGAAAGAGTGATTTTCGTGGATAAAATGAAAGTAGGGAAAGAAAAGGGAAATTCAAGTTCTATGAAGTGACTTGGATAAATATTCACTTCAGACTAGCAATTTAGTAGTGACCTTTAAGCAAATTTTCCGCAACTTATGTTCATCCATAGTACATGTGTCAGCCACTCTATCTATATAGGTCCACAGTTGCATCAAATGGTTTACTGTAAACTCTAAATTAAGCCTATCTCATTCGGTGGTCTCGTAACATGCGAGCGATAGTGGGACTACAAAGTTTTCGAATTTGTGTCAGTATTGAAAACCACATAGAAAAAATATTTAAATGGGTTTTTGAAAAGTTTTACACTTAGTTTCCCTAATTATCTTGAAAATAAGGGGGACCGTGTATGTGAAATTTCTTAAGAAAAGGCCCCTCTGCACATGGTTTTGTAAAATAATCAGAATTTGGGTGGAACAGAAAACGTTCAAATAATATAATCGCTACAAAGTGATATGTTCACTTCTATATGTCGGACTTATTAAATAGAACATAATCTAAAATACACTCATTCCATAATTCGTATTCTGAAATCTGGTTGTTATTATTTGTATTGAACATCCAAATTTAACGAACTTTTATTAAACAAGTTCCATGAGTGTGAATCAACACCATTAAAACGATATATTATTTAACCTAAATCTCTTGAATTGAATTAGTATTTTTGCCTCTCTGTGTTGTTTGTGTCATTTAGAATGGATCGATTTTAGATGGTATTGATTTGTGGCAAAGTAATGTTCGGAAAAAATTCGATGGTGTTGAAGAATGTGCAATTTGTTACTCGATTGTGCACAACACAAATTTCAGTTTGCCTAAAATGCGATGTCACACCTGTCGTAAACTATTTCATTATGCTTGCATGTACAAATGGTTTACAACTAGTCGAAATCCTGCTTGTCCATTGTGTAGACACCTGTTTATTGATCCAACCGGTCGTCCTGTATCAACATAATGGGTAAAGAAAATTCTGATGATCGATGCAGCAAGAAAATGTAGTATTTCTAATTAATCTGAATCAAATGATCATTTGTTTCATTAATTCACCATAAATCTTGTTTTTTGTTACTTTTGAGAAGGATTACTCTTTTTATTTTTAAGTAGTTATTATTATT